GATCCTGTAGAGCATCCAGCCCCCAAACAAATACTCATCGCTGTGTGAACAATGCTTTCTGGGTAGACTGACCTCATTCAAGCTACAGACCACAAAAATGAACATTTCTCAACCTCCAGAGCAGGGCAACGGACCATTCGTCTGCGATTTTCAAGCCTGTGGAAGCCAGATGCTGAGTCAACCCCCAAAAATGCTCCCTCAATCTCAAGCAATTTGGAATGTTTCTTTAAAAAAGGAAGCAAGCAAGAAAGAAAGAAATGTGGGGGGAAATTCCTGGCCTGACTTTTTGTTTTCACAAATCTATAGTCCTTTCATGTCTCACTAATTTATTCAACAATTCCAGATGAGTAGCTGTATCAGTCCACTGATTACTCATCGTAAATTTATCCAGAATATTAAAACATAGTAAAAAATTAAAAACAACAACACATAAGTATAGCAGACAAGGCATGCCCTGTTAGGTACTCTTCAGTTCTAGCACTCTGCGTGATTGTGTCCAGCCATGTATTAAATTGCTATGAACTGCATGCCAATTTCCTATCGATAGGCTGTGGTGCTCATAGGACTGGAAGCCAGGAAATGGAGATTTTTCTATTCCTGTCTCTGTCTTGGATGACCTTGGGCAAAAAGCCACTTCCCCCAGCATTGTGATTTGCGTCTTCCTCCTCCCTTCTCAAACAAACCCTTCCAAGGGCATGAGGCAGCTGGACTGAGACAGAAGGATGGTGAAGCCTGCAAGAGCTAACTCCTCAGGTCAAGATCCAGGCAGTCTCTTCCAGAAGGCAGTAGCCGGCTAGAAGCAAAGTCCAGAGGAAGCCACACCAGAGGAAGCGGGAATGATCCGCCCACCTTCTCATTCATCTGTCACTCCACCCCATAATGCCGGCACGCCCTGAGTGAGAAGCTGTACCCCAGGCCAGAGCCAATTTAACTGAAAGGGACTGATAAACTAATCCCTAGAGAACATTAAAACCAAATCGTAATTCCCTACAAACGGTGTGTGCTCTGCAGTCACACAATTCAAATTCTGCCATACCCAATAATTAGAATAAATTAGGCATATTAAGCATATAAATTACTCTTTTTTAAAAATTACAAGCAAAAATTGTTTTGCTTTTTGATACATGTTTTTTAAAACTTTTTAAAAAATGAAATGACGGGGAGAGTAAGAAAAAGGAAGAGAATCAAGATAGCATCAGCCTGTTCTAAGAAGTTATGAAGACTGGAAACATGTTTGGCATTTTGAAAACGAGGGCTGAGGGGCTGAGGACTGTAGCCATGCTGACCGCTTTGTTGGCACCTCTCAGACTCTTCCTTTTATCCCTTCCTTGAAATGGGAATGAGGAACCCTTGTCTGTCCGGGCAGGAAGGGAGAACTGTACCAGTAGTTTAATCTTTTAGATCCAGGGACCCTATAATTAGGTGGTGGTAGGGGAATAAGGAAAACTAATGTACAGCAATTGTTCAAGATAAGGCTCAGTACCTACCTGGACCCCGTAAACCACATGTAGGTTCTAGAACTTTCTACCAGCTGTTAAGTGACTGTTGACGGCAAGTTCTGAGCCTTGGACATGGGTCCACAATAAAAGAAAGAGGTTATGAGTATCTTATTAAAAGTACTAATCTCTTAATTCACCCCAGATTCAAAAGCTTTCCTGGAACTTCTAGCTGAATGTTCCTTGGTGGTGGAAAGTGCCGTCCAGTCACAGTCCGACTTATGGGGACCAGTGTTCCCTCTAAGCTGAGTTAGTGTGAGCCAGCTCACAGTTTTTTAGCCTGCAGCTCACAGATTTTTGTCTGAGCTCAGGAAGGATGGCTCCAGAGCAAACTAATTTATGCAGGAGCCAAATTGCTTGCTCACAACTTTAAGGTCAGGAGCTCACAAAGTGGAATTTTTGCTCACAAGACTCCACAGCTTAGAGGGAACATTGATGGGGACCCCAGCGGGTTTTCAGAACAGAAGACATTCAGAGGGGTCTGCCATGGCCTGTCTCTGCCATAGTGACCCTGGTATTCCTTGATGGACTCCCTCACAAATACTGACCAGGATTGACTCTGCTTAGCTTCTGAGATCTGATGAGATCAGGGTAGCCTGGACCATCCGGGTCATAGGGGATATTCCTTAGGACAGTCCATTCAGTGACAGACTCTCTTTCTCGTGGGCTATGGAAGAGGTTGATAGGAATGTTCTGATGAGGTTGGTGAGGGGTCAGTGTAAGTGGGGAGGGCAGGCAGAGTGGGAGAAACTGTATCTCAGAGGAAAGGTGCTTTCTTTGTCTGTTCCCCTTTCCTGCAATTCAGGGTGGCTGTTCTGTAAACAAAAATAACCTCTGTTCTTCTCTTGCACCTTGACAATCCTATGCCACTATTTATTTATTTATCTAATTCAATTTATATCCCTTCCTCCCTGCCAAGGCAGGCTCAGGGCGGCTTACATTGTTAAAATACATTAAAGCACAAATTATAAATTATAAATCAGCTACGACTTGATGGCCCTTTCCACCGCTACCACCACCTTTACAGTAAACACAACTGCGCCCTCTGCTGACTAATAAAGGAACAGGGAGGAAATGCCCTTCACTGAAATCCAGAACTGTTCAGTTCACCCTCACATTCTTTGAATGAGGCACAGAATCCTCTGAGCGTTCTCAATGGAGCTGAAAGAGGTATACTTGGCTGCCACAACTATCTGAGGGAGTTTTTGTGGAGAGGATGTGAAATGAAACAGAAGCAATGTTCCCTCTAAGCTGTGGAGTCCCGTGAGCAAAAACTCTACTTTGTGAGCTCCTGGCATTAAAAGTTGTGAGCAAGCAATTTGGCTCCTGCATAAATTAGTTTGCTCTGGAGCTGTCTTTCCTGAGCCAAGGCAAAAATGTGTGAGCCGGAGGCTAAAAACCTGTGTTCATGGCTCACACCGACTCAGCTTAGAGGGAACACTGGCGGGGACCCCCAACATTTTTGAGCCTGTCGTTACCTCTGGAATTCTGCTACATTATGGTGGCTGCAGCCATGAAATGGCTGCCAGAAAATGGCTGCGGCAGGAGGTGGAGCCAGCCACAAAAACAGCTCCTGCAGCTGACCTTCTTCAGTTCCACAGTTGAAGGTCCTCGTGCTGTGGGGGGCAGCTGCTGCCAAAACAAGGTTTTCAAAAATCTGCACAGCCAGACAGATTTCCAGTGGCCAATCAGAAGCCTTCCTTTGAACCCCCCTTGGCCCCACCCACTTTCTAAAAACACCTGGCAGGCCACAGGAAAGGTGTCGGTGGACGCCACGGGTGTCCACGGGAACCACTCTGGAGACCCCTGGAAGGCAGTAGGGTCCCTCTAATAGGACTGAGTGTCTGTGATGCAAAGGCTCATTCACGGTCCGCCAAAAGCAGTACAGCAAGAGTCTATGAAAAATTCTAACCTGACCTTTCCGATAAGCAAAGCTGTTCACAAGCTGTCTTCAGAGTTTCCCCACAGATTTCCCAGTCCAAATATGTTATCGTCTTCCTTGCTAGCAGGAGCCTAAAAATCCACGACATGTTTGTAAGAGTGACCCTGACCAATTCTTCTAGGCGAGGGGGGGGGGGAGATGCCTGCTGACCCCCAAGTGGTTTCTTTTTGATCAGTGTGTGTACAAATGCGCAGCCAGACCATTCGCATACACGCTGATGCAGGGAGCGCTGACTCTTGAAAGCGCACACACCCAAAATCTTGTTGGCCTCCAAGGGGCTACGGGACTCTTATCTAGGTGTTCTACTGCAGATCAACACAGGCACCCCTCTGAAACGGCAGACGCACACCGCATCAGAGTTTGGTCAGAACTAAATGATCCAGAAACTCCCACTTAAGTCCAGAAGAAGACTTTAATAAAAGTTAAACCAAACTATAGCTAAACAATTTCATTTCGCCAAAAAGCCGTACATGTTGAATGTGAACATTTGCCAACATGAACTATTACTGCAAAACCACCTCCAGAAAAGGCCCGTATTGCGATGCTGTTTTGCCTGGATTTTCTTTTGGACCAAGGCTGAAGCAAGAATCCCTCTGTCATGTTTATGGCTCTGCTTGCAAGTTCCCTGTTTAATCAAGAAACGGGAGAGACATGTTCTGCTGCCACGTTTAGAACAAGTCGGGTTTAAGATTAAACTCAAGTAAACTCAAGTAAATCTGTATTGGCATCTTCCAGTTTTGTTTGCCCTGCTCAATGATGGCAAGGGAGAAATAATCCATCCTTTCAAAAGGCTACATCCCTTCAAAGCACTACTCTTCGGACACAGCCAAGGAGAAGTCTTCAGGAGAGTAATTTTTCTCCTCAGCAAAGACAGTCATTTCCTGGCTGCCAAAAATTTCCTCTTCTTCATCTCCAAACGCCCTCAACTCATACAGCTCCTCATGGCTCACAGTGACCTTATTCAACACCAGATCATTTTCTGCCACCTGAGTGGTTTCAGCCTTGTTCAAACTACCCTTCTCACTGGGATGACCAGATGGCAATAAATTAGCACTGCTGCTGTCTGTGCAGGAACTGGGCTGTTTGGCTTCAGCATCCTTACACCTTGGCACAACAAACGGCATCTTAGGACCTTGAGAGGAACACAAAAACCAATGATGACTTTCCCCCTTGGACCACACGGTCACCCTGTGTGGCACAGCAATATCCTCTCCTGCTGCATAATCCCAGTCCCTTCCGCGGCCTTCTCTCAGCAATGCTAAATGAACTTTAAATAATCATGTGAACCATAAAAATGCTTCAGAACTTGGGGTTCCATCCCCAGTTGTGACTCAGAAAGTACTTTCTGGGCCCACTTGTGTATCTTTGCCTTTGTGCACCAACTGAGCAGGCCCTGGGGCTTAAGAAAGCTTCTGGCACAATAAATATGCTAGTCTTTAAGGTGTCTTTCACTAACTGCAACAGACTAACTCAGTTACCCTGCTGGAAACAGTGTCTCTTCGGCACTAAACAGAACAAGCCTCTCATGTACACAAGTCCTTACCTTTCACATCGTCCTGATGCTCCCTTGCTTTGGACTCAGCTACAGCTTTGGAGGGCACTGCCTTCCTTCGACTCCTCTTTGATAAAGGGGAACTGCTTTCAGCTTTCAGCACGCTTTTTTTGGCCCCTGCATCAACAAGTTGGAGCTATTGGTTTTATTTCTGTACAAGTCTCGCGCTCAGAGTTGTGGAAAAAATGGGAAACTGCAGGCTAGAATGGGCTGGGGTGGAAATTACTTCATGGAGAGGGGTAGCTTCCTGGGCCAAAACACTCACTTTTCACACAGGTTTTCTTCTTAAGCTTTCCATCGGGTCTCACCACTGGTGTCCCAAGAAGAACCTAGAATACAGATACTGCTGGTTAATCAGGTAGCACAAATACCACCCAACTACACAGATAACTGGAGCTGCGGTGGTGGCTCAAGTGGTTAAGATGCTGAACTGCAGGCTGTGGAAGGTCGGTAGTTCAGCAGTTCGAGACCCGAGTGTGCCGCATGATGGAGTGAGCTCCCGTCTCTAGTTCCAGCTCCTGCCAACCCAGCAGTTCGAAAGCAAGAAATTGCAAGTAGATAAATAGGTACCACTTCAGTGGGAAGGTAACAGCGCTCCGTGTGCCTTGGTGTTTAGTCATGCCGGCCACATGACCACGGAAATGTCTTCGGACAGCGCTGGCTCTTTGGCTTTGAAACGGAGATGAGCACCGCAACCCTAGAGTCGGATTCGAGTGGCTTTCGAGCAAGGGAAACCTTTACCTTTTTACACAGATAACTTCCACAGAAACACTTCCCTAATAACCACATGAGGGCCTTCAGGTAGTCAAATGGAAAAGAGAATCAGTCATCCCCAAGAAGCTCCTCTCACAAACATATGAAACACCATTATGATGAGATTATCGAGTTCAGAAGTCTCTACTCTGACTAGCAATGGCTCTCCAGTGTCTCAGGCAGAAGTCTTACACATCACCTACTACCTGATCCTTTAAAAAGAAAAATAAAACTGGAAATGACAGGGGTTGAGTCTTGGAGCTTCCGTGTGCAAAGCAGATGGCCCTTTCCCACATCCTCAAACCTGGTCTTGAGTTTTAGTTGACGTCACAGGGCTTGCCTTCCTGCCACCTGGATCTTGAATCTTCTTGGCACGAGGATGCCAGGTAAGGCCGTCAAGACCTTCAACGCAAAAAAGAACAGGGATTCTGTAAGGGACATTCTGGGAGCCTCCCGGCTTCTCTGACAACATTCAGGCTTTGGGCTGCCCACACCACTCCAAGCAACAAAGCCAAAATACCTTTGCAGTCTTTCTCTCTGAATCGGCTGCAGAATCCAAACATTCTTATTCTCTCCTGGTGCAGTAAAGGGGAAGAGTAAGATAGGTACTGATATATTGCTACGAAAAAGTGGGGGGAAACCTGGACTGGTTGCAGTCCAAAATAAGAAGTATCTAGACCCAGACTCAATCTGTCTGCCTCATCCATTCAGCTACAGCCGCCAAACACTGCCTCAGATCAGGGGCGGCAGGGATGGACTGTATGTGAACAGAAATGCAGAGCTGGGTGTTATCAGTATAATGTGATGCTGCTGCACTCCAAAACCACACGTACATCTGTCTCCCCCAGTGACTTCATACCAATTTTAAAGAGGATAACAACATAAGAGAAGCCAATGTTGGATCAGGCCAATGGCCCGTCCAGTCCAACACTGTGTCACACAGGGGCCAAAAATACCAGGTGCCATCAGGAGGTCCAGCAGTGGGGCTGGGACACTAGAAGCCCTCCCACTGTTGCCCCCTCCCCCAGCACCAAGAATACAGAGCATTCCTTGTCCCAGACTGAGAGTTCCTATCTATACCTTGTGGATAATAGCCACCGATGGACCTCTGCTCCATATGTTTATCTAATCTCCTCTTGAAGCTGTCCATGCTTGTAGCCGCCACCACCTCTTGTGGCAGTGAATTCCATGTGTTATACTGTGGATCTCTACACTCTAGCTTCCTAAAGGCTGAGGTGGCATCACCTCTGTGTCCATTTGGACAAAAGGGAATGAAACTGATGGAGAGCCAGATCTGATATCTGAATGGAGTACTGTTAGAATCCTTCACAATTGAGTTTCCTCATCATGCAACAGGAGGTTGCTCACCATTTCCCCTGTTTAACATTTTAAAATAGAAGTAAGTGTTTTGTCATGGGTACTCTAAAAATTAAAAACCAAACAAAGGTGCCGTCTGGGAATGCGCTTCCTCCACTCATTTAAATGGGGTTTGCATAGCCCCCCTCCCCAGCCTCACAGAAACAGGGCTCTGGGGCAAGTGATGCTCTGTCTTCTTGGTGCTTGGGGGGGGGCAACAATGGGAGGGCTTCTAATGTCCTGGCCCCACTGCTGGACCTCCTGATGGCACTGGTATTTCTGGCCACTGTGTGACAGAGTGTTGGACTGGATGGGCCTTTGGCCTGATCCAACATTGGCGTCTCTTATGTTCTTATGTTCTTACTTCTTTACATAATGAATGATTAAAATGTGGAATTTGCCTCCAGAAGATGTAGTGATGGCCACAGGTACAGACAGCTTTAAAAGGGGATTAGACAGATTCATGAAGGACAGGTCTATCAGTGGCTACTAGCCGCTCAAGGGAATCTCCACATTTAGAGACAGTAAACCTCAGGATACCAGAGCCAGGAGGCAAGATCAGGGAAAGGCTTTGGCCTCTGTGCCCTGTTGTTGGCCCTCCAGAGAAACTGGTTGGCTGCTGTGTGAGACAGGATGCTGGACTAGATGGACCCTCACTGGTCTGATCCAGCAGGGGTCTTATGTTCTTATGAAGCAGCTCTGGACAGCAGTTCAGCATTTTGCCAGCAGTTTTACTGGGAGGATTCCTCCATACATCCTAAAAGCTTCCCAGTTACAGAACTCCAAAAAAAGGCCAAAGGATAATATTTACAAATGTGAAAGGCCGCCCACTGTCCTACCGGGATGCTTATTTGCTCTGCTTCTTTTGCCATCTTTTGAGCCCTTTCCAGATTCTTCCTGTCACCTTTGATCTTGGGCTTGGCCTGAAAGACAAAGCATAAGACACATTGAAAGGACCCTTTGATTTAGGAACTGGGGCTGGCCTGCTGTTCCTCTCAGTCCTTCCAGCCCCCAAACAAAAATCACTGCCTTTTTTGTGTGTGGCTGTTCACAGGTATGTGTATACTGCAAACAGGTACAGGTTTAACTATCTTCACTTCCCCAACAGAACTCTAGGAACTCTAGTTCTGTGAAGCACACAGGGAATTATGCCAGGTTTGTCTGCACATTCAGAAGCCAGCTAGGTGCAATGTGTGTTTAAACCCAGTTCTGCCACAATCACATAGAAGGGCAATCATGTATGCATGTGACTGTTTTTAACTACAAAGGGTACCTGGCCCTGTCCCCCCCCCCCCGCACACCACTTATCTCCCTGCAGTCCCTCACCAGGAAACTTCTTTTCTGTTCATTGTGCTCTGATATCAGAATAGGCTGGGAGAAAAGTGCATGGGGGGAAGTAAAGGGGCAGGTGTTGGAAGGGGTTTGCACTCTTCACCTATGTGCCCCTTTTGTTGTTGAACTTGGGGTGGGGGAACCCTTTCCCATGTGACTAGGGGAAATCGCAGTTTAAACACACAGATCTGGAGGGCAGTAGGGCTTTAAAATGTATGCATCATATAGGGATATCAGCCTCTAGGTGGGACCTGGGGATCCCCCGGAATTACAGCTCATCTCTGGACTACAGGGATCAGTTCCCCTGGGGAAAACAGATGCTTTGGAGGGTGGACTCTGTGGCACTGTACCCCACTGAGGTCCCTATCCTCTACCCCCACATCTCCAGGAGTTTCCCAACCTAGATCTGGCAACCCTACACCACCATCCTCTGCTGATGGCCGGGGGGGGGGGACCCAGTAACCCTAAATGTAGCTGTAATGTAATGTCAGCAGTCTTTCCCAATTACAAAATACAACACTGGTGGGACAATAGATGGGAAGAGGAGGAAGAGCTCAGTGCCCTGAATGCAGTCCAAAGAGAGTTGGCATGGAGGGAGGGGGAGGGATAGGGAACTGAACAAAACAAAGTCCTCCTTCAGTTACTAGGACCTCTCTGTCCCAGAGACACACACACACACACACCCTCCCTCCCTCACTTCCCAGCTCTGCCAGGAGGCCATGCCTTCGCTATCCCCACCTATTTTGTGTAACCTTCTACTGGTTTATGTTTGCTGTCAAAAGGTATCACCTGCCAGTTGGGCTTCTTTCAGTACCCACAACCTCCTGTTGCCTGGTTACCAATCAGGTCATCTTCTGTTGCAATTAGCAACCACAAACAAAAGCCCCTTTACCAGACAATTGTCCTCTGCATTTGGTTCACCAAAGTTTCTCAGCATAGAAGCGGAGATCCAAGCCCGGGATACAGAGTCACCGAAAAATGTCACGTGGTATTTGGACTGCAATGGGAAATAAAATAGACCGTATTTGGCTGCTGTGGATGACCTTAATCCAGCATGCAGCAGCTCGTATTCTTTCCAAACACCCAACACCTTTATGTGTGGCAACCCCTTTGCCAGAGCCAAGACGTGACTACTCTGGGATGGAGGCAGCTGCTGATACATGTCCTCCACTAACATACAAACAAATGCTCATAATACTTACAGGAAGGGAATCTGTACGAGACGAAAACAGGAAGTATTCTCCAATGTCAGGATCGGCTTCTATCATCCCAGGCCACCTATAAAACACATATGAGAAAGAGCAGAAATTATGACTGCACCAAGTTGGTTTCTGATAAGGGCTTTCCTCCTGAGACTTTTGACGTATATTTTAAAGAAAAGGCCTCTTTGGTAAAAGAAAATTCTTCCAGATGGCATTCACCTGTGAATACTCAAAAACCTCAAATGTAAAACTGTTGACCTTTTAGCTAATGAGCATAACCAGTTCGTAAAACTGCCTTCTTCACTAAGGGATTGAGACGGTCAAGCCACACATGTTATCAGGATCCATGATCAGATTTTCTGTCATAACACTGAGCTGCAAAAATCAGGTGTGAAGTGATGGAACAGGGAGACAAACACGGCTCGGGCCCAAGACAACAGGAAAGGGTTTTTGTTGTTTAATTCCTTGTGTTATTTCCCTGTTCAAAACTGTCACATGAATACCTGAAGCTGCCTTATACTGAATCAGGCCCTTGGTCCAACAAGGCCAGTATTGTCTACTCCGACTGCTAGTGACTCTCCAAGTTCTCAGGTACAGGTCTTTCATAACACCTAATGCTTGGTCGTCTTTAGTTGAAGATGCCATGGATTGAACCTGGGACCACGTCCATGCCAAGAAGATGCTCTGCCACGACTGAGCCACAGCCCCTCCCTGAAGGTACAAGGCCATGCATTCAAAAACAAAATATCACGTACAGTAATGTACATGAAGACATGAAGCTGCCTTATGCTGAATCAGACTCTTGGTCCATCAAGACCAGTACTGTCCACTCAGACTGCCAGCAGTTCTCCAGGGTGTCAAGCAGAGAAAGGTCTTTCACATCACACACTGCCTGATCCTTTCAACTGGAGATGCCAGGGATTGGACCTGGGACCTTCTGCATGCCAAGCAGATTCTCTACCACTGAGCATTTTGATCCTTTGATAATCAAAAGAGCAGCACAACATGGATTGTCTTTTCCCTACTAAAGCTTAAAGCAGCTCACGGAAAGGAGGAATTTCTAACAATGGAAATGGCACTGGGGGGAGTTGAGTGTCATGGCCCTGGTCCACTGCTCCAGCGGTGCTTCAGTTTGGTACTAAGCCTAAATCCCTGTGATGGGAACAAGAACATACTCCTCCTCCGTTTCCCTGCCCTGAACGCCAGTCCTGGTGTCAAATTTTAGATTTCATCTCCCACCCCCCCGCATTCTGTTCCTGCCAGCCACCTTTAAGGTGCCAAGCAAACAAAAGGTCATTGCCTTTCTTCAAATAACTCTTTTAGAAACATCAGATGCATGGCAGGCATCAGAGAAGCATATAACTTATTAAAAGGACTGCCTTTGGGAATTTCCCTTTCAGTAGACAAGAGGCCCCATTCTTGGCCAGTTTTCCATC